AGCTTATAATCCATATTTAATAGTATACAAGTTTTAAGTTCTTAATTCTAAAAGGAAATATATATAAAAAATCCTGAATTTTCACTAGTGTAACACACATGACACATTTTGTCTTAGCATGCCATCATCCCTATTATATCCATCACCCCTTGAAAATGTAAAAAATTAAATGTAAAATGCTCTCTATAAAATCATTATTGCTCAAACAGACCATAATTTTTATAGACTTCAATTTTGTTTGGTTACAGAGCTATCAAAGAGAAAATCAGACCCCTCCTGCCACACCCACCCTTTCACAATTTATTGATAGTTCTCTCTTACGTTTCATTATATATTACCTATAACCAATAGAAAGTCAAGGTTTTCATCTATCAAATGGCGTATTGTATAACGTTGTGTTCTAAAAAGTTAGATGTCAGTTTTGCTTAGAGTACCGAGATCATTCCCATGGGAAAGTTAACAGCTAGCTTGGATGAATTTGTAACGGCTCTTGTCACACAGTTAGAAAGCCAGGAAAATTTTTAGAAGTAAGTGAATTTGTCTACTTTTTGCATGTTATTAGTTTATATTCTTTGGTGTATTATTTAATTAAATAAAAATTGTTAAGTACTTTACTATAAAAAATCAGGCTTAACTCTCCTCAACAATCGAGGGCAAGAGAAAAGGAGATTGGGTAAGTACTTTATTTCTTGTTTTTCATATTTATTCTTTATTTATTATTATAAAAGTAACTACAATTAAAAGTATGGATCTTTTTAAGTTATTTAAAACTAAAATATGTAGAATAAGTAATAATAATAATAATAATATAATTAAAATTGTTCATAAAGCACACACACGAGGGCAAGAGAAAAGGAGATTGGGTAAGTACTTTATTTCTTGTTTTTCATATTTATTCTTTATTTATTATTATAAAAGTAACTACAATTAAAAGTATGGATCTTTTTAAGTTATTTAAAACTAAAATATGTAGAATAAGTAATAATAATAATAATATAATTAAAATTGTTCATAATGCACACACACGAGCAGCTCATGGGTAATGTAATTCGATAGCATAATGTGAGCTGCATGTTCCCCGAGTTATTTACAACTTATAATGGAGTGTATAGCAGTTATACACGGTTCAAAGGGCAATAAAAAGGACAACAAAACTATAAAATTTAATTATAAATAGATGTATAATATTACAAACTTAGAGCTACTTAGGATAAACAAATGTGGTTTCATGTTACAATTTGAAGTCATACTAGAAAGAAAAGAAGGTTCACTTAGGTTTATTTCGATTTTTTGTTTTTGTGGTTACGAGGTCGGTCAAATTGACCGATCCTGTTTTGAGATTAGGGTAGAGAAAATAACATATAAACTATAAGGATTTAGTGGAAAAAAAACGTTTGAAATGCATTTAGGAGGTTTTAGGGATTACACAAAGGAAATTTGAGATTTTTGAGATGAAGAAAAGTATTTTTAATTTTAACATGAAAATTATTTTGCACATTGATTATTCAAAACAAATACTCAATATATTCATGGATAAAACTTTATTTTATTTTATTAAAAGTACTTCACTAAGAAATATGATTTTTTGTATGTGAAAGACTTGTAATATTAACTGAAAGACTGTCAAATTTCGTGAAGATATACCCAATATATAGAGAGTTATAATTATTAAATTTATGTCAACTTTAAAGGAGTACAGAAGGTTAGTTAGGCTAGTGAAAATAACAAAGTTCTGATATTCATTTAGGAAGTTCTAGAAGTTATGTAAATGAAATACAAAAACTGTTATTTTTAACATGAAAATTATATTGCACTCAGGGTAGTCAGTCTGAATCAGACTAACTAAAGGAAATTCACAGAAATCTTTAACAGAAATACTTTGATAGAAATCCTTCTTTTTTTTTAGTATAACATACTTGTTTACTAAAAGCTGACCAAATTTTATGAAGATACTTTAAGGAAATCCAAAATTACAGAATTTACAGTAAACATAATTCTCCAATATAGGCTATGTCCTCTGGAACAATCCCATGAATGTAGGGTTAATTTATTTTGTTCTTCTTAAGTTTAAATATGATTTTTTTATTTTCAAATACTTTTATAAAATAAAAACATATTTAAAATCTTCTGGTGACAAATTAAACACAAATTTACATTACTTCTTGATTTTACTGACAAAATAATCTTACATGATCTGTAGTTACTGACTCGTGAACAGTCTGTAGTGGTGCTTTTGTCACAGCTGCCATTTTCATATGTAAAGAATAAAATTCTAGATGAAATAGTTCATCAGTACTATGATACTGCTTCTAGATTTTTGTAAACTGCAGTCACTCATTACAAGGTGTAGATGTAAAAAAATCTGAAATAAAAAGACAACTTTCATCATTATCTACTTCACAGATTATTAATTAACAAGCTCACATCTTATTCACAAGTTATTTGTATCCTTATATCTATATTGGTCAGTGACACAATCTTAAGACTTATGTTCTCATTCATTATAAAGATAATTCCATTTCTACTGTTTTTTGAGTAACGTTTAAAAAACGGAAAGAATTATAATGAATAACAAAATTAATTTAGCAATATTAACAAGACAATGACAAATTACAAACCAACTAATTAACTAATATTAAGAATAAATATAATGACTATATTAATACAGAAACAAGAAATATTATATTGAATCATATTTATGTCATCAGAAAAACACATAGGTTCAATAAGTCTTGAAACAAAATGAAAAAAACCCTATAACCCAAGTGCTTTTGAAAGGTGGACTTTTCTTCTTCAGGGGCAAACTGAAGAAGAAACGTCCACCTTTTGAAAGCACTCGGGTTATAGGGTTTCTATCATTCTGAAACATTTTTTTATACAGATATACCTACAGATATTTTTATGGAGAAAATGTTACAAAGTGGCAACATGGAGTACGATTACAGCTACTTTTCTTGATGTTAATAATCATTAGTTTTCACAATACTAGATGAATTAATTTTTCTCACATAGAAATTCTTACAAATTAGTTTTATTTTATAACCATAGAATCATTTATATTCTACAAGGTAATAGTGTAAAGGACAAAAACAGACTAGTTAGCAATTTCACATGTACTTCAGACACCAGTTATAGGCCACGTGTGTTGCCAAGTTTGTAAATTATACACACAAAAATATGCTTGATATTTCTTCTTGCAAAGAATGGTTTTATCAAAAACATGTTAAAGGTGTCTTACCTTATCTATAAAAATATTTGAAAACTTACAGAATTAATTAATTGTTTCTTGCAAGTATATAGATGATTCCTATTCATTACATACGAATTTCACAAGCTTAATATTTAAACAATTTATTCAAAAATTGACTTTGCTGCAATACTGAAGCACATAGAGGACACACAAAAATATCAACACTGCCTGAAGGATTTTTAAGACTAAATTTGTTCTTAAATGTTCTTCAGAAACATTACAATTTAGTACATTAGTTTAAATAATACTTTACATAAAATTCTTAGAATATTAACAAGAATGAAATTCACATAATCTTGAAGCATGGATAAAAAACATAACCAAGATTTTTTTATAGAAACTAATCTCAACCAAACTAATGTGTAAACTATGAATATTGTATACAATTAATCAATCAACAGTTTTATGTTTAAAAACATTAGAAAATGATATACTGTTGTCCTCCGTAAGTCTATAATGCTCTATATTACACAAAACCCTCATTTTGAAGCAATATAGCACTGTGGTTTACTACAAAGTGATTACAAAATTAACACAACCACCATCAGAGACTAGAAAGTTGAATGTTGACAGCAAACTTTACTACTTATGCCCCAACTGATAAAATCTGCTTACATACATTAATGATATTAATAAGGGCACAACCAGTAAACGTTTGCTGATCACATTAAACTCTTGAGCATTTCTAGTTATACTGACGATATTGGGGTATTACAGAATGACTTGTATCAACTGTTTAGTTGGAAAAATATTTGAAAAATGACTTAATTACAGTAAGTGCAAAGTAAACTAACAGAATTTTAGGGTGTGTGTGTATATATATATATATTTATATAGATGTATTGATTAAAGAAAAAAAGAGAGATAATTATCTCCATAAAAATCACTACTTTGGCTTCACTTGGAATACTTCACTTTTGTCTCCTTACCTAAGAAAAGGTATTAACCTATTGGAAATGGTTCAGAGAAGTTTTAATAGAATAATTCCAGGGGTAAAAAGGTTATCTAACATAGATAGATCAAGATGTTTTAATTAATTAATTTTCTCATGAAAAGAGTAAGAGGTGATCAAATTAAAGTTTACTAGATTATCCTTGGAATCAAAAGGATAAAGACCTGTGATTTCTTTGTGCTATATACTAAAGATAACAGGACAAGAGAATAAAATTAAGATTTGGAAAAGAAGTCTAGGTTCCAGTTAAGGTAGTTTTTATTTTTCCTAGAGTAACTGACTTATGGAATAATTTGCCATTGGCAATAGTGTAGTACACTACTTTACATTAGTTAATAATGGTATTGTTGATTTCCTGAAAAATAAGGGTAGGTTTAAATTTTTACTCACCCCCCCCCCCTCAATAGTTGCGTGTGGTATTTTCAGATTGCCCTGGTTTCCTTCAGAGTACTATAGAATTGCTGTAGGAAGCAATTTTTGAGTGGTGAGGCCACTCTCTTTTCTAGGGGGGTCTTGGGACATGTCCCCTCCAGAATATTTTTGAAAATTTAATGTTATGAGATTGAACCTTGAGCTACTTTAACTACAAATACTGCAAAAACACAATGTAATGTATTGAATTTACAGAAGCAAGTTTTAATACATACGTTGTAGCTAAAATGCCATGAAAAAAGTGGTCAGACCATGACCTGACTGGCCTTACTGCTTCCTATAGCCCTGTACAGGTAAGAACCATCAAATAACAGGAGATCTCAAAGAAACTATACCACAAAGCAGTGTCTGAATTTCTCTGCCCTAAACTAAGTCTGATGTATAAGAAAGAGACTGAACACAAACTTGTAGACAATCACAATCTTTATTCAGACTGACACAATAAGATTATATATGATTCCAGATTGAGATTTTCATTACTACATGCTTGGATCATGCACATCACCCACAAGATTGTAGATCACTTTTGACTGAGCACAAAGGAAGGTCATGTCCTTGGGGTATCATCTAACATACTGCTGTCTAGTTTTGTACAACCTATGTAAAGATATGGTATCTTTTCTGCTAGGGTTAATGTGACACTCTAGTCAAGTGATTCATTTTCATGTGTACTATACTGGGGGAAAAACTTGCTCTGTATGAACAGAAAATTTGAAAAAATCCATATATTAACTAAGAAGGTAGAAAATACATGATGATATGCTTGAAAAGACAACCTCAAAGGATCAACTAGTCCCTTATTGTCCAAATTTTATGTTATGGTTAGTACTAGAGGTGTTAGATTCCACTTTTTAAACATTTAAATGCTATTATATCCATTTGAAACAACAATGAATAAGTGCTATTAACTTTTTATACAAATAACCATATACATATATAAATAGTGGAAAAAGTTATATTAAAATGTTTTTAAATTGATAACAATCACTTTTTCAATAAAAAACATGTAAACAGGGAGATTAATGAGATTAAAAAGAATATGATACCTTTTGTAGTGACTCATTGTCAAAATATGCATACTGATATTTCATTTGTTAATACACAATTACAATAAATAGTAGATAAAACCTGAAAGATGTATTCAAATATAATAAATTCTTTTATCAAGAAGACAACCTAAAAATCTGTATAAATTATTGAATAAACCTATAAGAGATTTTTCTAAAGAAAGTATTTTCAGTTGTGAAAGAAAAGATCTGTATTTTATGCAATTTAGGTTACATAACAACTACCAAAACTATAATAAAGATATTTTGTTTTCCATTAATAATTCATTTAATTGCAATTCTAAGAACATACTATATCTTTTAAAATGTGTAAATGGTGGTGAATTCTATATTGGCAAAAACAGATGATTTAAGACTAAGGATAAATTTACATAAATTCCATGTTATATGTCTCGAAAAAAGCCCACTATATGCCAGCAAACATTTGAAAAAGTATTTTGAAAAAAATTTAAACTTCTAAAAGAACTATTCTAAAAGATTATTTTTAAAAACATATTTTGTAAATTCATTTTCTGTGACTTTAAATATATAGTAATAGAAGAGCAGAAATAGCTGGTTCTGTAAAGTCAGTAAGAATTGTGAAACAGTGAAAACTATTACTAAGACTTACAGAAAAGAGAAAAAAAGTAAGTAATAGTATGAAATTATAGAATAAATAAATTTCATTTCTGTAATAAGAGAAAGTATAATTGGAATAAGATTTTAATCTAAAAAAGGAAAGTATACTTTATTATTGAGCATTTTTAATGTACTTAATTTATACATGAAGTGTATTATATGCTTGTAGATTTAGAAAATACATGTATTTAATTTAGATTATGTATGTGTAGTTGAAAAATGGTATTTGAATGATTTTGTTATAAATTCTCAGTAAAATTATATCCTGAAGATTGACCTTTGAAGTCACCAAACCAGTTGAACAAATTAATAAAGGAGAAGAAAAACTGAATAGCCTGATATTCCAGTACTTTATTTTGTATGTATATATATATATATAGACATACACCACATATTTCTGTAAATTTTATAAATATTAGGTTTTCAAAAAATTATTGTCGCTTTTTGGAACACTTTCATTAATGACCCCCCATAAACCTACATCACATATAATAGCTAAATGAACCACCTAAACGTCACATTACTATCTAGTCTGTATAATGTGTAAAGTTTAGTATACTCTAATCCCTTTATAGTTATGGCAAACCACGAGACAACATTCGGCACGTAGTGCTGTTTGAACACAAGAAGGGAAACAATGCATCTGTAGCCACAAAGAATATCAAGAAGTTTATGGAAATGTTTTGAATATTTGTAAGTGTCAACGATGTTTTAGCAAATTTCATTCAAGTGACTTTAGCCTTAAAAACTGCAATTGCAGGGGCCAACATGTTGGAATTGATATTGATGCTCTGAAGATGCTTGTTCAGTCTAACCCAAGGCAACACACTCGTGAAATGGTCCTGAAATTGCATGTCTCTCATGAAATAATATGTAAACATCAAAGGAATATGGGAAAACTTCTTAAATAAGGTGTTTTGGTGCCTCACAACCTCTGATCATCATTTCCAATGTGTGAATGTTGCTTTGTCTCTTCTGGCGCATAATGTGTGTGAACCATTTTCGGACAGAATTGTCACTAGTGATGAAAAATGGATTCTCTA